ACCTCACGCTGAATGCCCATTAGAGGGAGCGCGGGAAGCTGAGTAGGGGATTAGTGCGTGTGGACCGGCGAGGGTGCTCACGGGGTTGAGCCCACATCGTGACATGCCCAATCGAGGGGGAGGCGGGCGCTGGGAGCCGGTGCGTGGGCACCAGGGAGGGGCTCACGAGGTTGACACACGGTGACTATGCCCATAGAAGGAGCGCGGGAGCTGAGGGAGGTAGAGTCCTTTAATATAGACTAATAATAAGACTTAAATTCTCTATATTAAGGGACTCTAGAGGGAGAAGCTCATAAGCCTGAAAATACGTAACTGCCCCTAGATGGCGCACGGGAGCAGCTTGCGGGCTTTGAGGGGGGGGGGAGTGAAGCTAAACGTACGTGGCATGCTCATTATGATGTCGAATCAGACGTATTTAATGAGTGGTTATTAGGAATAGAGTTAAGTCTAAGTTACTTGTCGCGTGATTTTGTCTGGGGCTTGCCATCGACCCTCATCCGCCGCAGTGCCTAGCTAGTAGTGGACGCAGGGAAACGACTCTAACGCTATGGGCGTGGCAAGAGGGTCGAGGCGGGGAGGCTCCCTACCGAGTAAGGTTAGAAGGCATCGTAAGCGAGGAGGGGAGTTGAAGTTGCCTTGTTAAGTTAGATTTTAGCAACGCACTCCTATCACTCCTCTCTCTCTCTCTCTCTCTCATCGTCTCGTCTCTCTTTCTCTCTCTTCTCTCTCTCTCTCTCTCTGTCTCCTCTCTCGTCTCTCTTCTGTCTCTCTCTCTCTCTCTCTCTCTTCACATCGCTTCTCTATCATATTCTCTCTCTCTCGTCTCTGCTCTCTCTCTCTCTCCATCTCTCTCTCTCTCTCGTCTATCTCTCTCTCTTCTCTCTCTCTCCTCTCTCTCTCTCTCTCTCTCTCTCTCTCTTTCTCTCTCTCTCTCTCTCTTTCTCTCTTCTCTCTCTTCTCTCTCTCTCCTCTCTCTCGACTCTCTCTCTTCTCGCTCTATTCTCTCTCTCTCTCTCTCTTTCTCTCTCTCTCTCTCTCTCGTCTCGCTCTCTCTCTTTCTCTCTCTCTCTCTCTCTCTCTCTCTCTCTCTCTCTCTATATATATATATATAAATATCATATATATCTTTGCAACTCCTCTTTCTCCCTTCCTTTATTTCGCTCGCTCGCTCTCGCTTCGTCCCATCCGTCATCATCGCTTGCTTCCCCAGCTATTTCGTCTCGCGCTCTCTAGAGTCCCTCCCATACGCTATCCATCTACCCCTGGCTCCTCTATTTCTCGCCCCTCAATATAACCTAACAAGCCGTTTCGGCTTCGACCCAGCATGACCCACTCTTTAAGCCGTGTTACTGTGGACAGCCAATTAACACCACTTCTATTACTCATGAGTGACGGATCCAAGTTGACTTCAGATGAAATGCGCTTATCTGCCCGCTCCGCCTGTCATCACCCTAAACATGACGCCGTATGTTCGTTTTAGTGTCCACGCACACGGTCCGCAGGAGAGGCGCACAAACATGGGCGAGGCGAAGGTCGGTCCGCGCAAGCTGACGATAATGGTGACAATGGAAAGCTTAATTCGCGGTGACGAATGTGAAACTGATTCGCGGACTTGTTTACTCAATAAACAATGCAACGGCCGCGTGCGCACCTGTACTATCCTTCGTGACTCGCGGCCGTTCGAAGCTCGGCTTCCCTTAAGCGTTACCATTTTTCGGGGTCATCTTCACAATGCCCGCAGCTCAGTGTTGTTGTTGTTGTTGCTGTATCCTTGTTATATTTGTGTTTTTGTCTGCTGTTGTTGTTTGTCGTCGTGGGGGTCGGCCAAGGTCCTGCTGCCGGGTGGCGGCTCGTGGTACGCTATGCTTAGGGCAGACAGCAGCAGCGGCAGCACGCAGCAGCAGCAAAGTAGCCAGTAGCAGTAGCGTAGCTGTAGCAGTAGCAGTAGCAGTGCGTAGCCAGTAGCGTAGCTGGTAGGTAGCGTTAGCCAAGCTGCCATGTAGCAGTAGCAGCTAGCAGTCTAGCAGTAGCGAGTAGCCGGTAGCAAAGTCAGCAAGTAGCGTTCAGACAGGTAGTAGTATTGTGTAGTAGTGCTTGAAAGGGGTCGTTAGTCGTATATGTAGGTCCCGACGGTGTCGGGCGAGTTGTCGGCCTACGCCTACTCCCTACACCCCAACCATGATAATAAGTTAACTAGTGTACATATTATACGACATTATACGACAACGTCCCTTCGTGCAGTAGAAGGTAGTGAGTAAAGTAGTAGTAGCTGTAGTAGTTAGTAGCAGCGCAGTAAGTCAATATCGATCTATATTATTCTTACTCTGGTAGTAGTAGTATAGTCTGTAGTAGCTAGTCAGGTAGTGCAGTGGGTCGTTGTCGTATCAGGCTATACAGATATGTACCCTTAGTTAGTTTTAGGTTGTTTTGTATTATGTTTATTATTTTTACATAATGGTTTGTTTAGGGATTAGGGTTAGGGTTCGGGTTAGGGCTGCTAGGGTTATTAGGGTTAGGATGTTAGGATTAGGGTTTAGAGGTAACTTCCTGTGCATTAAGAACAAGTCTGGCTCAGACTTGGATTACATATATGTACTCGGGCTACATATTGTAGTACCTGATACGAAACGACCATTCAGCAGCTAGCGAGTGTACGTAGCTAGTAGTGTAGCAGTTAGCAGTAGCAGTGCAGCAGCAGCAGCGCAGCTTCAGCAACAGCAGCATTCCAGCAGCTAGTAGCTCAGTAGCGTAGCGTAGCCAGTAGCCGTAGCCAGTGCAGTAGCCAGTAGCAGTAGCGTAGCAGTAGCGGTGCGCATAAGCATAGTAGTCAGCAGTTAGTTAGTGTAGTAGTTGAATAGTAGTGTATTATAGTCTAGTAGTAGTCAGTAGTAGTGTAGAGTAGTAGTAGTAGTAGTAGTAATAGTAGTAGCATCAGCAACAGCAACAGCGGCAGCGGCAGGAGGTAAACGAATCTATTGAGCCACCGATCAATGTTGGGATGCGCAGTTTTAGTTGCCCGTGACTTCAGCGCTTAAGCTCTCTATAACCAGTAAAAGCGGTATAACTGCGTCTATCTGAGCCGACACAGAGAGACAGCCCTGGTCGTGCTTGATGGAATAATAACACAGTCAACTCTCTCTCCCCTCTCTCTAATCTTCTAAGTCGTTTCACTATCTGAAGTGGGTGGACGTGCGTGCTGTGGCAACGGTGAAAAGAGAGCGAGAGAGAAGGGGCGCGCGAGAAAGGGGAAAACAGAATCAATCTTGCTAGAAAGTACTCTATCAACAATCCACCGCGGCTATAGATTTTAGAAATCACGCTATGAGATAACGCCATGGCCGTTTACAGTCCGCATCCTCACTCGGGTCACGTAACATCTACGTTCGTTGGTGTAACACGGTCTATCGCAATTATGTCAACGATATGACGGCGATAACAATGCAGCGCGGTGTTAGACTATAAATATATGCTAGCCTACTGCCAGTAGTACATCTACAGTTAGATAGATGCAAACTGAGGCAAGACGTATGCGTGATAAAACCTTATTGCTATCAAGTCCTTGTTATTAGAAAATAAGCTTAGTGAAATATTTATGATGTCACAGAAACCATGTGAATCTGTGAGATCACATGTTGATAAGGGTCACCGAGATTTTTGGTTACACAGAGCGATTGTGAGGTCACGGGAATTCTTAGGTCAAAGAGATCGTGGGGTTACGGAGAGATTGTCGTGACGATAGCAGCTACTGACCGCCGCATCTCGCCGAAACATCAGCAGCGACAGACGACGCATCGCGCGGCGTGTTTTTTTTTCTCCGGAAGACAAACAACGAGCGCGTTCTTCGATGAATTGATTCCGGCTCGCGTGACAAGGCAAGATTGGTACACACGCACGCCGCATATTGACTGAGCGTGGTGCCGGTACGTGCCTGCTCCCCTCTCCTCCTCCCTATATGCATCCCCCTCCTCTGCCTCGGTTTTCTCCTCCTCCCTATCTGATTCCTCCTCTGTCTTGTTTTCTTCTTCTTCTTCTCCTCCTCCTCTGCCTCGGTTTTCTCCTCCTCCCTATCTGATTCCTCCTCTGTCTTGTTTTCTTCTTCTTCTTCTCCTCCTCCTCTGCCTCGGTTTTCTCCTCCTCCCTATCTGATTCCTCCTCTGTCTTGTTTTCTTCTTCTTCTTCTCCTCCTCCTCTGCCTCGGTTTTCTCCTCCTCCCTATCTGATTCCTCCTCTGTCTTGTTTTCTTCTTCTTCTTCTCCTCCTCCTC